CAACGTTTCGACAAGGTTTTGTCCTCATCAGGGACCTGATGATGACAAAAACTTGTTGAAACGGTGTACATTTGCTGTTATATTAAAGTTTTTCTTCATTACCCATTCAAGCCGTCTCCAGCCATTAATTGTTCAATCTGCTTTCCACTATAAGCCGTAATAGCGTGATTTATTTGTTATTGTTGTATCCTTAGTAAAGACGCGAATTAAACATTAACTAATGATTGAAAGCATTAACCTATGGCTTCCAAGAAGATTCGATGGGTATTGCTGTAACATCCAAGAAAATGGTGGCGTACATGCATAGAGTGTACAACATGAATCAGAACTTTGAATAGGATTTTGAATGCTCCATTCACTGATTTCAAAATATTAATTTTATATTAGTTTCATCAACAAGCATGTAAAAGTATATATTATAACAGTCTTTAATAATTTTATGTTAAATGTTTAGAGCTTCAAACTGAGTTTTTATTTCTTTTCCTCTTTACAAAATATTTTATTCTCTTTTCTCTTTAATCATCCCTGCACAACTAGGTTGATTCTTTGTTATTCGTGTCAATGAGTAAGTGTATTTTATATACGTGGGTCGTATGTATTGAAGTGTAAACATGGGAATGTCGAACTGAAGGGCAAGTTCGCTCCTAGAATTATTTCACATTTTCTAATTATATAGAAAGAAAACTGGTAAATTAACTTGAAACGTCTAAAATACCTAATTTCGCTTGTTCAGTTTTGTAATGGTAGTGCCATGAGTGTTTAATACTTTGGTCTGATATCTATGTAATGTTTTATTTTTTGTCTTACTTAAATAATTACTTAGATATAATGATAAGTTTTAATGCAAAATCACCTGAAATATATTGTATTCCATAATCACCGAGATGTTGATTAACGTTATTCAGAAACTTGAACTACAATACGCATTTATGAATACATAAATAAAAATAAATTAAAACGCAAAATAAAAACGAATCTGATAAATATTTAAGACAAGTAAAACTCTTCAATGTTTTAAGAATAAAGTAATAACACTAAGTTTCATATGTTCCTTTGTGGTAAAACATTCCTCACTACGATCTGTACATGAGCGTACGTATTACGTAAACAATATTCTTATATCTCTGATATGTTATAACCTCTTTACTAAACAAGTTGTATAAGTCACTGCTACGCTAATGTCATTAAGTCACGATCTTAGTGTATTGACACTTGAGCCACTCTACCTCCAATATAATTAATACAAAGTTTGAAAATGAAGTCAACATCACGTTTGTTATAATTCATGAAACCTGTGAAATGTTTCTGCAAAACGATAGATGCACATTATACAGAGAAATTAGTAAGTTATGTTAAAACGATTGTGAATATCAAATTAGCAAGTGAAAGGACAATCACAGCCGATATACAATTGAGGTGTAACAACATGTGTCAGAACTACATTTTGACATTTTTTGGCGCTGCGTATGTAGTGTGATGCCACTGAAAAATGATCGCTTTTGAGAAAGTCATTTAAAACGCTTTCCGATGCAAAACGTTCGTAAACTCAGATCATAGAAAATGTGTTCAGATCAGACATTTTGAATTATCAGCACTTATTTGCATTGGAAAACAAAGGCACATGAATCAATTTGGAACACCAGGACCACCAGGAAAGAGACTATAAGCATGCCATACTCCAGCCATAGTAGGCAAAGTGTAGATCCTTGTAACAGCTGAGTATGCATGAACACAAATGTCAGTGGTAAAAGCCATCCACGTGCTCCAGGCAACAGTTTGCAATATAATCGAAAAGGAACTCCTTGAGGAAAAGCAACACAAGTCACGTGTACACAGGTTGCTTCAAAGAGGTATTCGTTCAACCAGTGAATACCTCAAATGTCATTCCGGTCAGGTCGCTTCACTCGGCGCCTATAGATTTATTCTGCGATCGGACTGTTGAAACGAGCGAAAGGAAAACATCGTCATCGTACACTAGATGGACTATGAAAACAAGCAGGGAAAATAGCGCGCTTTGGACTTGACGGCTTTATGATAGAGTTTTTTGTTTTGTTTTTTGTAATGGACTGCAGGGCTATTGTCAAAATGACGGTCGTCAGAAAGAGCATGACATGGGCTGTAACTGTTTTGATGAGGCTCCAGAGTCATTTAGATATAACATACTCAACACCTTTACAAGGTATATAGCCTAAGATGTAGTGAACATTTATAGGTAATACGGCATGACCATCTGAATATAGTTGGGGATGCAGTAGAATACATACTTGATAACTTCATCTTAATTTTATAGAATATTACACAGTTAATCTTAAAAGGTAAAGAGTAGGTTTAAGCAATTTCATTATTATTATTTAGTTCTAATGTTACATTTTAGAACAAAGTTACACAATCGACTATCTGAGCTCTGTCTATCGCGGGGAACTGAACCCGGATTTTAGCGTTGTAAACACGTACTGCTGACCCACCGATGGATTAGTATATAGATGAATTGTTCACAAACGGTATACTCAAGGAAGAAGAGTGTGTTGAAATAATACAGCTGTAAAAAAATTGAAGATAAAAAATCTGTTTCATTTTCCTCAAAATGATGTTTATTTCAGTAGAGTTCTTGTCGAAAATTACAGTTACAATAGTGAGGAACAAAGCACACATAACGAACATCAGTACTTTGTTAAATATTTCTGCTACAACAAATAAAAATATCTGTAAAACACTAAAAACAAAAAGCATGTCATGGGTTGATATGTGCCATTAGATTTTTACTTCGAGTCCCTCCCCCAAGACGAAAAAGACTTATAAATGTTGAAATTTGACTGGAAAAAATACTTGAAGCTATGTAGTTTTTGAATTTAGATTTAGAAATAGATTTATAAAGTAAAATATCTGTTATCTAATGTGAAAAAGGATTTTGATTAATAAAGGTTATTTTATTTTTGTTGTTTTTGTCTGTGACAATCGATTTGTGCTGTATCGCCGTTCACTTCTATTTTATTCATCCGCGCGAAACTTTTCGCGCCCTTATTTATTTGTTTGGTTGTTGATAAGCACAAAGCTACACAATGGGCTATCTATGCTGCCCCCACATGAAAAATTGAAACCGGCTTTTTAGCATTATAAGCTTTCAGACTTACCGTTGAGGCAATGGGAGGCACATTTGTCTCATACAAGCAATTTGCTGTTAACCAATTGAATCCTGCTTGCTTATGACTAATGGGATTATGATTTATGTATGTGTAAAATTATTTAAGAGTACAAAAGTTATATTCTGAGAAAATATGTATCTTCAAATGTAAACTATTCGGAATTAAAATTTAGTTAATTTAATATGTCTGAAAGAGAAACACTTTGCAAACAAAAGTATTTAATAAAGAGTCTTATATCTGCGATACATACTTATAGTCAGTGAAGATGACGCTATAGGCGATTCTGTTCTATACTTTAGTCAGAATACCGCCAAGATCCTTAAAATTAAGGCAGTGACGTAACAGGCGTCCTGAGATATATGTACACATATATTCATTTATTTGCTATGTACAGTGCATCTACATTTCTTTATTGTTAAACAAAAACCTGCAGAATGGGTTTATGTGTGCTGTGCCCACCGCAGGGATCGCACTCCAAATATTTAGCGGTATCAGACCCCCCCAACCTTAACACTGAGCCATTGAGAAGCAAGTGTACATAATTGAAGATTGTATAAATAAGTTGCATATATATCACAGTCTGGCTGTATACATCATTTACATTATTTACATACATATGAACACATGTGACTGGTCGCACTTTGAGCGTTGCTCTACTCAGAAGTCTTATAGTTATTCTTATTCAAATTAAACTTTTGACATATACATTTTTATAATTCTAGTGATATGTATTACATTAAAAAAACAAGAATACCAATGCAAACTGTAACTGAAACATGTTAATCTGCTGAATAAACAGAAACATGATAGGATTTCCATTCTGAGCTATTTAATATAACCGTTCACTGCTGACCAAATTATGAAAGCACACACGTTGTTGGTCTCAAGTTACGATTTTCGGTCTCACATACTCCCTAAAGATATTGAATACTTTAAGTATGTTCTCACTTAGTACATCACTTTTGTTAGAATTAAAAGTCCGGTTCATCTAATTGAAATTAAACGTACTATACTTTAGAAGACATTGAAGACTTTAATTTGTTTGACTTATTTGTTCATTAAACAATTCATTCTAATTACCATTTTTTAAATTATTAACCATAAAATGATTTTGAAAAGAGATCTAGGCCCTGGTGCCATAGAAGTGAATTTTTTGGAAATCTATTCTATAGAGGGCACCGTATATTTATTATGCAAATTACACACGTGCAATTGCTGGTATAAAAAAAATGTCAATGAAATTTTCTGTGTTTCTTCTGGTCTCCCGAAGATGGTGGAACTTTTCTACCCAAGCATATAGTTTTTAATTGTATATTCTACTTTTAATTTTATATTGTAAATGTTTTTACTTATTTGATGAAGATTTTAATGTTTTGTGTTTATATACTTTTAGCCAGTTTGTTATATAGAAATAGCTTCCTTAATTTTTCTTACGTTTTAGTTCTGAGTTACACAGTTAGTTTATTTTTGATCGGAAGCTATTAGCTACTGACTTACTCACCTCCCACGGACTGACAGGTTAATGTTAGTGAAAGACCTTCGTTATATGGGCCTATAACGCCTGACAACCTCTGGTTCTTCTCATCCAGGATCACAACTTCAGAGGGCGGTTCTAAGGGAAAAATATTATGTAGTTAGGGAGATAGTTTTATGAAAGGACATACATACCTCATGGTTAATGTCTCAAATATCAGCCCTGTAGTTGACTGTAACCCTGTGTTACTTTTAATCACACAAGTTTGAATATATGATACGTAACAATGAGTATTTATCAAGACTCGTACTTAAATAAAATGTTTTGTGTGTTTTAACCACTCAAAAAGTTTGAATATATAAAACGTTATAATGGGTATTTAACAAGCTCCGTAGTTTACTAAAACATTTTGTATGTTTTAATCACATAATATGTTTGAATAAAGCATAAACGATAAAAAAATTACGTTGTTTCATGCCTGTGTTATGTAAATATTTATAATCATAGCAAAGAAATAAGCAAATAATTAGATATTACAAAGTCTGTTAACTGACTTACAAATAGACATAGAGACAGATTTATAGCTAGTAACACAATATACTAGAAGATCAATCGAAATGCAAGGGAAATATATAGACTAAAACATTTATAAGCATATGGAAATCTTGAAATACAAGAAGGCATTCATAAGGATGAAGAAACAAAGAGATGGATATACCAAATGTCAGATCGCTAAATAAGTGTTCGAAAATGATTAGTATATTGCGAACGACACTACAGTAACAGTTACGAACTTACGGTTTGTGGTCTATGTTTGTTCTGTGGCTAGTAGAGATGAAGTTACCTATTATATTGCAAGGACAATATAGTATATAGTATGTAAAAATCCCACCATTTAATCAAAAAGTGGAACCGACAATTTCCAGAACGATGGATTATTCCCCTTGCTAGTTCGGTCGTCATACATTGCACCCTTGTATTTTTCGTCTAGCGTTGTATGAAAGACATCGTCTACAGGTAAAGGTGACTGATCTGGGAACAATATGTGAAAGAATCGCCGGTGCAATAGCTATTGTGACGCCCAATATTCTAGCCAACGTATGGATGGAAATCGGATATCCACCCAATATCTTGAGGACCACAAACGAAGCACAGGTAGAGGTGCAGTGATGATAAATGGTGTGTGGAAAAAGCTGCATACATATGTCTTTCCTTTACCACAAGTTGTAAGTCTCCAACTGTTACTGTGTTGTCGTGTAATACGTAACATAATTCTTTGACATCCTGTATATATATATTGAATAAACTTCTCGCTTTAGAAATCGGACATAAATCATGGCAACATCAAGGTGGAAATGTCCTGTCTCTTCCTATAATACAATTTCTAGGAATTAAATGTCATTAATTTCAATATTTTCTCCCAAAATTTATAAAACAGGATTAACAGAGTATCTCATAACTTATCACCGAGATAACTACTTGTCATCACGATAAATAAGATGTTGGGAAGAAAAATACGGAACCAAAAAACATGACAGATTAATTCAAAGCTGTCAGACCTAAATAGGAAGTTCACTGATACGATAGAATTCATTCGGCCTTCTGAGAATACTTAACAATAAGAGAATTAAGTAAAGTGTGCGATCTACAGCCAGTAAGTCTGGCGATAGTTCTTCACACATATATATGGAAGCGAACATCCTAGTTAATGGAACAATACACATACCTATGTTTATAGTGAAGCAGTAAAAGTGGTTTAAATTTCTGTTTATAACAGTCAAAGTTGATGACAACTGCCATCTTGTTTAAGAAGAAACTGGAAATATATTTTGAAATGTTTGCATGTTACGCCTCTTTTACAAACAATGACATTAGCTCCGTGTACTATTGGTACTAATAAAGTGGAGGACCATAAGTATATTCCCTACAGAGCAATATTACAGTTTGATCTAAAGTTCATAAAAGTTTATATTCCTTACAAAGCAATATTACAGTTTTATGTAAAGTTCATAAAAGTTCATATATATATATATATATATAGAGAGAGAGAGAGAGAGTTAGAAAACATATAATAAAGTACTTTAAGGTAAAAAACGTGGGAAGTTTTACATCGTTAAGTAGGTCTTCTTCAAG